TGGAGGGCGTTGTCTTTGGCAAGAGCAGAGGGCATGCGGGAGGCCACAGCAGCCCACGTGAGGGATGTGCTGAGGCGTCATGGGGTCACAGGCCTCCCAGCTGCCGACCGGCTCGTCCTGCTGCGCTACGTGGCTGGGGATGGGTGCCATGCTGAGCTGCGGGGTCTCCCCCTCCTGCCTCGTGCCGATGGGACCTTTGTGGCCTTTGGGACTGCATCAGCCGTTGTCTACATGGACACGCCGAACTGCCCCAGGTAAGTCCACATCCCCGGTGAGCCCCATTCCCTGCGGGAGTGGACGTGTGAACTGGTTGCCCAGGGTGCAGCTACCATTCTTGGGCTTAAAGGGGGGCCAGGTTGGAACCTGGACATTTCAGGGCCTCAGTGCCCTCCTCCTCTCCCCTGCTCTCACCAAGTGGGAGCTGAGCCAGGTGTCCAGGAAGCTGCCTGCCCCCCATTACTCCTCTAGTCCTTCAGCACTTCCGTTTGTCCCCACAGGGAGCTCCTGCCTGGCCTTGCTGGGTCCTTCCTGCCCTCAGACCTGGAGCCAGGCTTGGACAGCCTCCTGCGAGACATTGCCAGGGCAGGTAAGAGACATGGAAGTGTCCCTGTCCCCTCTGTGCTTCCTTGGATCCTAGGTTTCCCTGTGTTCCCCATCCGAGGAATTCTGTGCCCCCCAGTACTTGTCCCCCTAACATCTCTTTTCCTCCCAGATCTCCTCTATCCCCACCAATCTGGGGTTCCCCTGCTCCTCCTATTCAGGTTATCCACTGTCCCTCCAGAGCCCACGTTCTCCCATCTCCTGTATGGGCAGGGCCCCATCCCCTGCAGATCTCAGGTTCTTTCCTCCACATCCTGGATCCATCTGCCAGGTTCCAGGTCTCACGTACACCTCGTCCAGCCTCTGCCTGCACTTATGTCTGCCTGCCTTGCTCACAGGTCTCTTCCCCAACCTGGTTCTGCTGGACACAGCCATGACCGCCCAGACTCTGCACTTGGCTCTGCCCCCAACCTGGATGTCCCAGTCTTCAACCCCAGTCACCTGGTGCCCAGCCCAAGGCCCTCCACAGCCCCCAGCCTCCTGGTTCCCAGCCCTGTGGCAATTCCTGGCCAACCATGTAGAAGACCTGGGCCCTCTGGAGGGGCTCCCTCTCATCCCCCTGTCCCCACTGGATGCCCCCAGCATCCGTCTGGCTCGGCTGATGCCCCAGTCCAGTCTTATCTTCCAGAAATGGGAGGACCAGCGCCTGCCACCTGCTGTGGCCTCTGTGCTGGAGGTACTGGGTTGCTCAGTGGTGCCACCAGGCATATGGCACCGCTCCCTGTCCTGCTATGTCCTGCCTCCATCCCCCCTCAATGCCCTGCGGACCTTGGGGAGGCAGGGGACTGCAGCTGTGGCCTCCCGCCTGGCCTCGCTGCCTGCTGTGGATGTGGTCACCCTCCGGGTCTACCTGGCAGACATGCCATCCCTGATGAAGCAGGACAGGGACACACTGGCTGCTCTGCCCATCTTCACTCCACTGCCCTCCTTGGCCACCCCGCAGCCCGCAGAGCTGGTACCAGCCGGTGCCACCCCAGCGCTGGAGCCAGAGCTGAAGCTGCCCAGAGATGTCGTGCTGCCAGAGGCCATGTTGCAGTGCCGGGATGAAGTTGACCGGCAGCTCCTGGGCAGGCTCCAGAGGCCCCTCATCAGTGCAGCCCACATGGCACTGGAGGCCATCGGAGCTGTGTCCCGGGGCGCCTATGCAGGGCGGGCAGCTGAGACACAAGCTCTGCTGCTCTGGGTGCTACAGCACGGAGACATCCTCTTTGCACAGAGCCCCCCACTCCTGCAGGCCTGCAGCAGGCTGGCCTTCCTGGAGACGCCCAACGGCCCCGTGTGCCCACGAGACCTCTACGATCCCTGTGAGAAGACCTTGCTGGCACTGCTGGGTCCTGAGCGCTTTCCTCCTGCTGCCTTCTGCAGTCCGCCTGTCCTCCGTGCCTTGAGAACTCTGGGCTTGCGGCATGGTGAGGGCTGCCTGCTGCCTTCGGACATCATAGAGGCAGCAGCAAGTGTGAATCAAGGTGGCACAGCAGCTCCGGACAGGGCTCAGGCACTGATCAAGGTCTGCAACTGCCCCAAGGCACTGGCGGGCTTCAGCGCTGCAGAGCTTAGGCAGCTCAAGGCTCTGCCGTGGGTCCCTCATTCCAGTTGCACTGGGACGCCTGGGCCCAGCTTCCTGTCCCCCGGGGAGCTGCGGTCCACCCGGTACCAGCCCTTGGTGGGGCTTGCCATGCACCTTACTAGTGCCTTTGTGCCAGAGGCAGAGAAGCAGCTGGGGCTGAGCCAGAACCCCCCACCAGACAGAGTGTGGGAGCAGCTGCGACAGCTGGTGAGGTGCAGGGACATGGGCAAGGTAGGTGCTGCGCTCCGGCCTGTCTACCAGCACATGCAGGAACACCTGAAGATGTTTGAGGCTGCTCCAAATGATGCTGTGGTGTGGACTGGGTCTGGGTTTGTCCTGCCATGTCATGCCGTGTTGGGCTATCCTGAGGAACTGGAGCTGGAGCTGGGGATGCTGGTGCCCCGGGTGCCCCCTGACTTCCTGCCTTACAGCTGCCTCTTCAGGGCCTGGGGGGTGGAAGCGAGGGTGAGTGAGGAGAGGGCGGTTGCAGCCCTGCGCTGCCTGGGGCAGGACATAGACGCACGCAGCTCCAGAGCTGGCACTGCAGCAGAGTTGCAGGTGGTCGTAGCTGTACTGGAGTGGCTTAAGAGCCGGGGGTACCAGGGCGAGGGCACAGTGCCAGTTCCTGTGAAGACCCTGGAGGGCTCAGGCTTTGCCCTCTGCCCTGCTGCCTCTACCGTGTACCTGGACATGGAGCTGGAGGCAGAGGAGGATGTGCAGGAGGTGGTGCATGAGGCAGTGCCATCCAGCACAGCCATATTCTTCAGCGCAGAGTTGCTCAGTATGCGGGTGCTGGGGCCAGAGCCATTCACAGCCTGTGGCCCCTCAGAGCCCATCACCTTACGGCTTCGCAACATCCTCCGGGAATACGGCGATGAGGGTGACCTCTTCACAGAGATCGTCCAGAATGCAGAGGATGCCGGAGCTACTGTGTGCCGCTTCCTCCTGGACCTCCGACACTGCAGAAAGGCCACCTCTGGGCTGCTGGACCCCGGCATGTCTGCCTGCCATGGCCCAGCCCTCTGGGCCTACAACAATGCCCTGTTCACGGAAGATGACCTCCGTAACATCACACGGGTTGGGGCAGCGACGAAGGAGGGCCAGACAGGCCGTATTGGACGCTTTGGGCTGGGCTTCAACTCTGTCTACCGTGTCACAGATGTACCGTCAGTGCTGACTGGGGAGACACTACTCATCTTTGATCCCAATGGCACTCATCTGGGCAAGCACATTCCCAGGGCTGGCTGCCCTGGCATCCGCCTGGACTTCTCCAGCCGACCACGCATCCTTTGTGCCTTTGCAGAGCAGTTCTGGCCCTACCATGGTATCTTTGGGTGCTGCTTGCCTGAGCCAGGACCCTTTCCAGGGAGCCTTTTCCGCCTGCCTTTTCGCACTGAAGAGGAAGCTGCAACATCAGAGATTTGCTCAGAGGCCTATGGTATGGAGCGCATCCAGTCCCTTGGCACTAGCTTCCTTGGCTCCAACCGACTCCTGCTGCTCTTCCTGCGGAGGGTGCGGGAGATGTCCATAGAGATGCTGCCAGACATGGCCACCTCTGGGGAGCATACCATGCCTCTGGCCACGCTGCGGAGAAAGGAGATCCAAGACTTGGGGGCTCCTGGGAACCTCCCAGGCTGGGCAGCCATCGAGCAGCTCACAGCCTGTGAAGAAGCATCCAAGACCACGTGGCACTACCTTGTTTTGGTGTGTCAGGGTGATGGGGAGTTGCTGGAATTGTTTCACCGGAACACACAGGCAGGGCTTCATCCTTTGCCTCCCATGGCTGGTGTGGCCCTTCCCCTTACCCTTACTGCAGATGGCAAGTGGGTGCCACGTCTGGATGATGAGGCAGGACAAGTCTTCTGCCATCTTCCCATGCCAATCATCTCAGGTCTGCCAATCCACATCCATGGGGCCTTCAGCATCCTCTCAAACCGCAAGGGGCTGTGGAACACGGCAGAGTGGGGTGAGTGGAACCGGGTGCTGCTCCGCAATGGCGTGACAGTTGCCTGGCTCCGGGCACTGAACCACCTCCGGACCATGCATGAGACAGGTGAGTTGAAGAGCTATGAATATCATGTCTTCTGGCCAGACACTAACACTGCCCGTTACCCCTTTACGGAGGCTGTGACTGGTTTCTACCAGGCTGTGGCAGCCAGGAATGGCCCCAGGCTCTTTTCTGATGGCTGCTCATGGTGCTCACTGCAGGATGCCCGCTTCCTGCATGAAGCTGTGCTCAGTCACCCCAAGCTGGGTGCCGTGGTGAAGCATGTCTTTTCCACCACCCTGCCCCCTCCCCTGTTGGCTGTGGCCTTGCCAGAGAAGGTGCAGAGGGGCCTCGGGAAGGCAGTGGATGCTGGCACCTATGACTGGCCCCGCTTTTACTGTGAGCTCGTGCTTCCCAACTTGGAAGACCTCTCTGTTGTTGACCGTGACTCTCTGCTTCTCCATGCACTGGATATGTCCCATGATGATGTGGACAAAGTGCTGCAGACAGTGCCCTGCATTCC